GCGAGAGCAAATGCTGAGGACTCGACAGGGATCAACCACTGTAGAACACTGCCATGATTGAAAGTTGCCTTCTTTTTTCGGGGATCTTGCATTCCTTCCTTTCACGGTGCTTCTGATGGGCGAACCTCCGTACATGATTTTTGGAGCAATGCAATCCTACGATCCAATCTACAAGTGGAAACGGGGAACCTAGTTAATAAAAAGTACAAATACACTGAAGGGACAAGAGGTAAATGCCCACATGAGTAGCGGTTCATGAGAAAGAACTCACCACTTGCTGATCCGATCGAAGCAGTTCAATCTCCACACCTGCAAGGGAGGGGGGATTCAGAGGGTATAAAATTGTCAAAATCAGGGTAAACCTAACCTTCCGTGTCCTGGGCAGGTACTTGAAAGAACAATCGAAACCAGAAGAAAAGAGAAGAAAAACAGCAATCGAGCTCTCTTCTCACCACTTACTTCAACCTTTCACTAAAATAATGACACCCTTCAGGACATCAGCTAAAATAGGAACATTGGTACGGGCCAAAAAAAATAGAAGAGAAAAACAAAAGACTAGGTCCCGAAAAGGAAACAACACGAAAGCAGAATACGTGCAAACTTTAGATTTCAGAAACAAAAGCGGACTTTGGGCTTCGCTGCACTACTCGTCAAACGTGAAACATGGCGTCCGTCTCTCCAGTTTTACGGGGAAGATACACTCGCCAATTCTCACATTCGGCCAGCAGTGGAACGAGGCCTTTTCTTCTGCAGAGAGTGAAGCATCCAGAGCAAATGAACGAATGCCATCTGAACAGAAGTGCTCAATTTCCCAGTACTTACAACGGGTTGTTTGGGAGGGATTCCCGGCCCTCGATTGGTCTCTTGGTACTAAAATTTTAATGCCCCCCACCACCAAAAGGTGCTCAATTTATAGTCATTCGTCCACAACTTATACTAGATTGACAATCCTTGTTTGTTTGTTTGTTTGGGATCTCTTGTGGGTGCTAGTGGTGTTGATAAAAGCAATCACCGCTAGTACCCCAAGGGAGACTCCACACTAGATTGACAATCTACTGCCCAAGCAAGACATTTTGGACAACAGCTGCGTGGCAATCTCATTCGTGTTTATGATTTCAATCAAGGGCATACATAAGGTAACAGTAGGCCACGCCGTTCCCATAATTGTTTGCGCTTGATGCCAGTGCGCTTGGGGGCGGAGCGTAATAAAACATCGGCTTGCTTTTAAGGGATAAAAGGTTGTGAAGGAAGAAGCAGAAGGCACGGATGGATAAGAGCTTAGCCGTAGAGGAGGTTTCGGGGACTTGCAACGAAGAAGAGAGCAAGGAAACCATCTAACATTCTGGAAATGAAGGGCGGTAGTCAATGACATCCGGGCTTCTTTCGTACCTCGTTTGGCTAACTGCTGATGGCAATCCAATAGCTCTGATCTAAGCGTATCCAGTTCTTCCTTCAGACTGTCGATCTCGTATTCTTGATCCAGCAACAGGCTCCTTTGCTGCCTGAAGAGGAAATCCATCACCTTGCATTTGACCCTTTTCAGCCTGAAAGCGAACGAGGAGCTGCGCAGCGCAACCGGGAGCATGCGATCACGAGACCGCTGCCTCTTTGCGGTATTGCACCCCGCGGGGGCGAGGTCACTGCAAGCAAAGGGCTTATCACCTGCAGCTCTTCCGTTAGAGGAAAAGGAAACGAAGGAGGAGAAACAGTAGGGAGAGGAAGAAGGGAAGGGGAAAGGGGAGGGGGAGGGCGAGGAGGAAGAGACGGAGAAGGCCGAAGAGAAGGAGCCCTGGCAACGCCGTTTCCTCTTCTTCAAGTTGCAGGCGCGGGGGCGCCCATTGCCCTTACTGTCCCGATCGCCGTCAGATTCTTGGTGCTCCAATGGCACAAACACCTCCATCCCCTCCACTTGCTCTCGCTGATGAAGATAATCGTAGACCACTGCCGATACTTCTTCCAGATCGATGTCGGTTTCTGGCTGCCTACCCTTCGAACGTGATCGTGGTTTTAACCCCACATCCTCATACAAGTCAGGCGGGGAAGGATCTGTCGGTCCAACGGACTGATCAACAAGATCTCTTTCTTCCTCGGATATCCGGAAAGCGAGGTTAAGGAAAGGAACGACGTTACAAGGCACAGCTTGCAATCTTCTCCAGGAACAAAAACTCTGCGCATCCCCACCAGACAAGTAGTCTTCTATGAGAGCAAGTGCGAGAGTGTCGAGCACATAACTGCGGGGTCTGGGCATGAGGGAGGCAGAGTCAAAGGCGGAGATCAAAGTGACGAAGCGGTTGAACAGCTGTGCGGGACCGCGGGGAAGACTGAAGAAAGAGCAATTGCTACAGCGTCGACGAGGACATCGCGAAGCAGAGGACACACCGGAGGAAGAAGAAGAAGAAGAAGAAGAAGAAGAAGAAGAAGAAGAGGTGGAGGTGGTTGTCATGAACGACGCTGAAGAGATAGAAGAAGAAGAACGCGAATGGCCAGGAGTGGATCTCTCCGAGCCTGCTGCCGAGCTGGTCCAAAATGACAACACGCTGACGCTGGAAGGAGTGGATACAGGAGTCGAACAGCAATCGACGGCAGCCATAGCCGCTGCTAAAGCTGAGGAGAACGCACCTCCGCAGCAAGACCCAGCCGCGGCAGAGAAATAAGGTTCGCAATTATTGCCGAAATGAACAGAACCGTGAACGTGGGACTGATCCTGGAGAATCCTCCCCCCCCCTCCCTCTTCACGAGAAGTCAGACTCAACCGCTCAAACTCGATCTGCGGCGGGTCGAAGCCGATACAGCTGCTGCCACCATCTGTTGCCAATGATCTACCATTATATCCATTCCATCCACCGCAAGATCCACCTCCAATCGACGGAGCAGAGCCTTCTGCACACTCCAAATCTCCGCTCTCTGTGCATCGATTGTCACCGTTATCGCCTTGTTCTTCTTCCCAACACCCGAGCCGATGAGCGCCAGCTACATCCGATTCCTGTTCATTTCGTCGAGGAGGACAACTACCACCTCCTCCGTTGTTCAGGTCGTTTTTAGGTCCCAGAGGCCCTCCCTCATATGGTCCTACATCAGTTATTTCCTCCGTTGGATCGTCATACTTCCGGCCGCGGTAAGGCAACCACCTCGGGATGTTTCCTCCAACGATGTAACCGCAAGTCGCCGCCGCGGCGTATATCACCAGAGGGAGCCCCATGGCTTGGCGATCGAAATCGGAACACAGATCTGGAACTCGGACCTTGAGAGAGAGATTAGGAGAGCCAACCTGCTTGTTAGACAAACCAAGTTGATAAACAGCACTCGGAACCTCAAACTTTAGCATGCGAGCAACTGCCGATAAAGTTCGGTGAGGAATAAATAAAAACAGAAGAAGGATCCAAAACTCACCTGGGTATACTGGGGAAGGACATTCGTTAAGGACGACAGAACAAATCCAATTCGCTGCATGTGCGCTGTCTCTTCCACCCACGGCATGACAACGGTCTATGGACTGAAGAACGGAGTTGGACCAGGCCGCCCGCCTGAGAACTTCACGAAAACGAACGGATTCGAGAAAAGGCTGCTGGTGGGAGGCAGAAACGCAAGTGCACTGATTTCTCTGCTCCCGCTACAAGAAGCGAACAGAGAAACTAATTTAGCAAGAAAACAAAGGGATTTGAAAAAGGGGATTCCGAAGGACGACAACGACGAAGTAGTTAACGAAGTCGGCAAGCAATTCCCCTCACAAGGCTGTCCTTGCACAGACTCATCGGTGATCACTCGAGTCCTTTTTTCAATCAAAGGTTAAGGTGGGAGGAAGAATTCGTCTGAACTGAGTACTTGGTAGATATGCAGTGCCATGGCACTGTCCAATCCGCAATCAATCCCCCTTACCTTTCTCATGCGATCCTATCTGTGAGGCACACAGGATATCCAGTGTTATGACCTGTCCAATCACCAGTCGTGAGGCACACAGGATAGCAAGTGTTGCGAGCTACATAACGTATCTATGAGGCAGACCGAAGGACGGAAAGAAGCGGGACGGGATTGCGGAAAAGAATTAACGGAGAGAAGGGAACGGGTCGTGATGCGATTCTAGCCCACCCCTCTCCTTCTCATGCTTCCGGTGCCGTAAAGGATTCCTTCGCATACCACATATCATGCAGGCGCTCCGAAAGAATCAGCGACTTCTCACAACGAGATAGCGGAACAGCCGCGGCTCAGCAGTGCCCTGATCGGTCCTTGCGAGGAAGACGGAGGACGACAGAGCCTAAGAAAAGCGGCTCTTCAACGGCGCGCGGTTCTGCTACGAGAAGCGTGCTGGCATCGCTGTTACGGATCCGCACTTTTCTCTCTGCATTCGCCCTCCTTTCCTCCTTCCCGGCGGACCCTTCTGCTCGACACCACCCTCTCACACACCTGCCCCCGGCCCCACCCCCGGGCCCCGCTACCCTGCGCTGGCCCGCAGGCCCGCTTGATTCGGTCGCTCGTGCCCGCGGTCCTCCTTCAATCGGCCTTGACGAGGTGCCTTCACTCCGCGCCTCCCCACTGGAGCGGAAGACCCCAGAGCCCCTCCGGCCGGACGCCGCCCCGCCCGTTTCCTGGACCGTCACTCCGCGCTTCACCTGTCCGCTTCCATCGCCTTTCGCCCCGCCTTGACCTCCCCTGGTCCAGACCAAGGCGGGCGATTTGAACTGCCCGCCTTGAAGATTTACCAGACCAGGAGGTGCTTCCCGCCCGCGCTCTTCCTGCAGGCGGCAAAACTGCCGCGCCTTTGCGTCCTCGCTGGCTCTTCCAGTTGTCGGGCTCCGCCTCAATGCAGGTTCCTGAATAATATGGATCATCATGCCTCTCGCAGGATAAGGCTTGGATCCCACTTTAGTCAGTGAGCCCATTTTCAGACTTCAATTCGGATCCCACAAGCTAACGGGGCCTTGGGGACCCGAAAAAAAATCGGCTGTTTCTACTCACTCTGTGTGTCGTGTCAATCAGGCCGCGACAGCGGCGGCGAAGGGACAACGGTTTATTTTATTTTATTTTTTTTGGACCATTTCTCGATTTATCCGTGTCATCCTTGCGCAGGGGCCATGCTAAAAGGTTTGGACCCCACCGCCCGGCGGCTGGAAAAGTTTTGGCATGGAAGGGCATTTTCGGTGGGGCCAGGCGGTTCGCCACCTCGTCTGGCGACGTGGAGTTCAGACCCCACCGCCGTTGCCAAAAGACCGCCAGCCGTGTTTCTACATGGGTGGCGGATGGAAAAGTCTCCGACCCCGGCCGGCGCTCTTTTCCAAAACGTCCTCCCAAAGGGTGGGGAGGGCAAAGCGCCAGCCGTTGGCATCGAAGGCCGTGGAGGAGTGGTGCAGTGAACGGGCGTCATGGACAAACATTTGGCCTAGGCCGAGATCCCACAAACGAAGTGTGTGTCGCACGAGACATCAGAACTGGCCGTTGGTGGTCCCCCGAGGTGGTCCCCCGCTGTGGTCCCACTGCATTGTGCAAAGCGGGAACGCGCGATTGAAATTTTTGTGGTGCGTTAATGGTTTTTTTCGAATTCTGCAACAAGTACTTGGGGGGGAGAGGAGGCAGACAGTCCATCGCACTGTGTGTCGTTCACGTGTCCGCGATTGCGCGTTCCCGCCCTTCGTTGTCCGCGGTTGTCTTCTTCGAAGTGACGTGGGGTGGAAGGTCGATCTTCCATGCGCTTTCTCCAGAACATTGCTGGTTTCGGCCGTGGGCGTTCAGTCCGACGCGCTGCCACGTCGCACGTGCGTGGTCTCTGGAGTCGTCATTGGACGCATTTGGATGCCTCCACTGCAGTTCGAACTGTACAACAGATTCTTGTGTTCAGCTCGGGACGTGCAGCTGTGCGAGGTTGTTTTCGTGGAAGCGGGTGCGCTGACGTGGTGGTTTCTTCAACTATCCCGTCGTTTGCTCCGAGGGTGGTCCCACGCACACCCCCGTCAACGTCCTATGTCACACACTGCACGCGATCTCCATTCAGCAATGGAGGTCCTCCCTTGTGGAATCCATCGTTGGAGGTTCGCAGTCCTCCCGTCGAGCGTAAACACGTGAACACAGGGCACGTGGTGATCAAACAAGGCAGTCCTCCATCAGCACATTCGGCTTCCAGGGTTTGTCGGTGGTGTTCCTTCACGGATTGTCCTGTCGTTGTCGTTGTGGGTAACGGGTGCGGTGTAGGGCGTGAAGGTGGTTTATCGCTGGTCGTTGTGTCCCTTGTGGCCGCAATAGTCTTTCTCGTCGTCGTCTTCGTAGTAGGGGTGTTGGTGTTGTCCACACTTGTTTTGTTTCTTGCCGTTGTGCTTGTGTCCAGGCGTCAATAGTCAACCCCGACATGGGTGTGGCGAAAGGTGCCGCCTTTCGTTACTGTTTGTCCGTTGTTGCAGGTAGCAAGTGTGCGATGGATCGCAGGGGTTGAATGGATGATGTCGTCGGTGGATTCGACAACGGTGATAACATGCACGATGGACATCTGAATGCACGACCCCATCAAGGTCATCATGCATAAAGCATGCAATCATTCGCCGCCATGCGTTCGTCCTCATTGGCCATGCAACATCCGTACCACCCTGCACGCAGTGCTTCTCCGCCGACGCCCTTCGGTGGAGGGTGTGTTGGGCAATCCCCGGAGAGCATGCACGCGGGTGTTCCACGTGGTGGTCCACATTCGCGGGACATGCGGGCGGACGACGTTTTCGTCTTTCGTGATCATCTTGTGTCCGTCCAGCAACAATATGATTTGTATGGATCACGGGCATGCGTAGAAAGCACGAACGTGGCTGCCGACTTTGGCATGCCGTCAGCGCCCACACAGAGCATGGTCGTGGGTGGCAGGCATTGGTCTCCCCAATGCTCCCAGGGCGCTGGGAGGTTGTTCGGCGCGCGGTGTTCTCCATCTCCACCGGAGGGCGTTGACACAGATGCCCCTTGGAACCAGCCGAACGCAAGGTCTGTGTTCCCCGAGACTCGCGCGGAGGCAGTGTACGATAAAGGCATGAGCGGCTCGGAAGTGGGCGATGAAGATGGTCAAGCAGAGCAAGGAACCGTCATTCCCATGGTCGCAAGTTCGACGGGTAGGCAAGGTGATGTTAACGGTCAGGGCTTGGGTGGTGGAGCGGTCGGCGGACGACCTGCGAGTGGTCGCCCGCCAGCTCAGAAGAAGCCAAACGTCCCATGGACGTTGGATGAGCGCGTGAAGCTTGCGATTTTTATGGGTGAGGATGATGCCCTCATGGCGGATGCTAACGGCCAGCACCGATTCAAGCAAAGGAAAGACCGATATGTTTGGGTGAATGATAGGATGGCGGATGCAGGCTTCAAGCACAGGAGCGGTGAAGACTGCCGCAAGAAGTGGTCGAACATGCTAGCGACGACCAAGCTCATCATCGAGAAGTGTGAAGCGTCTGGACAGTCGTCGTATTGGGATATGTCTACGGAGGAACGAAAGAAAAAGAGTCTTCCGCTTTCGTTTGAGAAGGCGGTGTAGGACGCTATGCAGTGGCAGTTAAATCGGTCGTCGAATAGGTGTGACAACACGCTGGCCTCAGAGAACCTTCCGAGCGTTGGAACAGATGCAACACCAGCGGGAGGATCGGACGAAAGATGCGCGGAGGAGTCAGACAATTCTGCTAAATCGAGGCAGACAGTCAGCGGAAAGGCGAGAAAGGAAGGTCCTGGCAGCAACGTGTCAAGTTTGGGCCGGGCCATGGAGGATTCCACTCGATCTTACTGCGATGGCCTCGACAAAGCGGCCACCACCCTTGCCAAAGCTATCACAGATGCGGGGTGTGCAATCGCTACTCGGATAGGGGATGTGGCCGAAGTGATGCGGGGAGGCAATATTGTTATAGAGTTGCTAGTGGGTGTCCTTGCTCGGAGGGGGGCGAACGTAGGTGACAGCGGCGAAGCTCCGACTCATCGGTTTATGGACCCTTCGTCGAGGTGATCATTTTTTTTTGTCATTTGGTTTCTTCGCGTTTGCGCTCTGATAACTTTGTATATAGATATACAAAGTTATATATATATATATTGTATATATATACTTTCCTCGGGAGGTAAACTAACACCGGTGGTGGTCGACCGAGAGGAGACACATGCATATACATGTATATACATATACAAGGAACGACACCGAATTGCTTCGGCCACGTTCTATGTATATGTATATATATGTATATGCATGTGTCTCCTCTCCACAAGCGGTTATCGGATAGCTGAAAATTCAGGAATGAAAATTCTGAAGTGAGAGTTTTGGGCAGTCTGAAAATCCTGAATGGTCCTGAAGTGGTGAAAGATCCGAAGACCTTGAAAACCACCTGTTTAGGCAGGCTGCATCCTGAAGTGGTGAAGGGTGTCCTGAAGTGGTCAAGTGAGAGTTTTGGGCAGTCTAAAAATCTTGAATGGTCCTCAAGTGGTGAAAGGTCCGAAGACCATGAAAACCACCCCTTACCACTTGAGGATGCAGCCTCCCTAAACAGGTGGTTTTCAGAGTCTTCGGAGCTTTCACCACTTCAGGACAATTCAGAATTTTCAAACCTGAATGGTCCAAAAGTGGTGAAAGCTCCGAAGACCTTGAAAACCACCTGTTTAGGTAGGCTACATCCTGAAGTGGTGAAGGGTGTCCTGAAGAGGTGATGAAAAATACGACTGTTGTTAACCTTCTCTCCTCCTCTCGGTCGACCACCACCGGAGGGGACACGTCGACGGCCGTTCGTTTACCTCCCGAGGAAAAATTCATGATCCCAACCATGATGTAAGGAAAAATAGATCAAATCAGATCATGCAGAAACGGAAAAAAAAAAAAAAAAAAAAGGTTCAAATAATTCCGGTGTTGACGTGACAACGTCGACGGAGTCAGTGGAACGGCCAAGCTATTCGCACTTCGACTCGTATAAAAAAGGTGTTCGCATCGGCTGCAATCGCAGTCTTTGTGCAAGATAGAGTACCATGCCTCTGCGTTGTTTGTCCTCATCGGCCTGCTATCGTTTTTTGAAGTTGGGTGTGCTCGGGTGTGCGCTTCGCCACGTGTTGACTGGCGAATCGGGCGGCTCCATTCGCCGAGAGGGAGAGGGGGAGGACTCTCGCGCGCGCGCGAGAGAGAGAGAGAGAGAGAGAGAGAGAGAGAGAGAGAGAGAGAGAGAGAGAGAGAGAGAGAGAGAGAGAGAGAGAGAGAGA